AGAATGTATATCAAAACGGCAATAAAAACGACGCCATGTGATATTTCCATTATATCGTTTTTTTTTTTTTTCCGGTAGAAAACGTCGTTTGCGCTCGTATAAAACAACGAAATCGTGAAATTGTACGTTTTCCTACGTTTATCTTTCCCCATTCAAGTGCTTTTATTCGAAAATAGCGTCGATAATCGAAACACGACCGGTTTAAAGTGGACAACTCTGGCTTTCGGAAAAGTCGCTATTCGTAAAAACCGGAACAATTTTACGTGGAAAAAGCGTGTCCGCAAACCGGAACAAAGAACAAAGAAAAGAAAAAAGAGAAGAAATAAACAGCAATGCGAGACCGATAGCTCCCTCGCCGCGCACCGGAATCTCTAAAACACGGAACGCGCACCGTAAGAACAGCAGTGACCGTTCTCATATTGCGTACCGCGCGCATTTAAATATCAATTCAATTTATAAAACGGCGCGCAATCGACCGACGTTTTACAATATCGCCAAGAAATCTACCGACAGCTGTTATTAAACGTTCGCTCTCACACGAATGCCATTACACGCCGCATAAACTAAAACGTTCCCGCGCACACGACGAGTAACAAGATCGCATAAACTTCACCCGTCGCGTCATCCGGTCGTCGATTAGCGGTACCCGAGACCGAGCGCGCGATTCGTAATCAATTTCTCGTGATTATTTTCGTTTCGCTCATACGTCGACCGCGGCGGCGCGGTCGTTGAAAAGCGGGTCGCGATTCGCGACGCGTTAAACGTCGAACGCCGGGCGGCTCCACCGCCGAAAATACCGGGTGTCGCCACGGACGAGTACGGGCCATAAATCGTTTCGCGAACGATTCAGCGTCCACGCGCCGCGGCGACCGCACAGCCGCCGGGGCGGGGACCGCGCGTCGGACAAGTGGCCGGGACGCGAACAGATTTCCGCATCGCCTCGCCGGGTTCGCCCGGCCGAAAGCCGCCGCGTTTCGCTCGCCCGAAACTCGTCCGTACTGCCCCGTGTCTCTCTCTCCGTAACGGCAATCGCGGACGGCGGTGTCCGCCGCGTTCGCGTCGGTCCGCGCGTTTCCCCGAACCCGGGGCGCTTATCGTCCGTTGCGCGCCCGGACGCGTTTGTTTCCCCCCCCCGTCGTCGACGACCTTCGGCCGACCACGCGACCGCGATCTCAAACGCGGCGCTGTTCCCGACGGCCAATCGCGGGACAAACGGCCGTTCGCGTTGCCGCGCACCGCGTTTAACGAAACGCGGGCGATCGCGACGTTAACCTGAACCGCCGTGATTAACAACGGTCGGCCGGCGTCGCTAAACGCTGGACGGTCCTGCCGCGGGTCGTCGCTCGCGACGTCGCGTACGCGTCTGTACGTCTGCGCCGTCGACACGGTCGTTTATCGGCACATAGCGGACTTTCGGCGGTGCGAAACCGCGGGGAAACCCACTCGTGCCAATCGTAACAATCCGTCGAGACCCGCGCGCCATTGCGGTCTCGAGCGACGGACTTGTTGCTACGGGACCTCGGCGAGTGATTTGTTTCAACGTTCCCGCGGTATAGAACGTTGAGCAGAAAAAAAAAAAAAACCCGGGCAGACGCAAACAAACGAATAGAAATAATATTAAACGTGACCGTCGCGACGGCGACCGTATAATAAACATACACGCTCGCACACACGAATACGTAGAAACAGTATCGTTTATTTTTGTATAGGTATTATATCACGACCGGTCTCACCCCTCGAGATCATACCAATCTCCTCCGCGCCGTATCGTTCCGCTTTCCTCCTCTATGCTTTTGCATATTTTTTTTTCTACTACTACTACTACATTACAATAGTTCCTTTACGTTCTATGGTTTCACAATTTGTTCAATTGTTTATAGGTAAAAAAAAAAAAAAACGAACTGCGATATTGCAGACGGGACATTCGAGTCCGACTCGTAGATGACCGACGGGACCCAAAAGTCCCAGGAGTTAGGAGAGACGATTTCGGGAAAAACATCGGAAACCCTTTGGAAAAAAAATGGAACGGGTACGGATATTAGTGTCGATGAAACAATACTGTCGAGTGAACTCCGCTCAGAATCGTTTTTTCTACCTGCCCGAATTCTCGCGCGACGGTGGCCGCACCCACGTACGAAGTCCGCGGGCTTTTCGATGTCAACACCGTCCACGCGTAATAATACGTTTACGGACCGGACCGTAAAACGCACGTATGAATCGAGAAATCGCGATTATAAAAGGTAAAAAATATATTGATATTGGTGTTGTCGATTCGTGTGTACGGAATACGCGCGGTGTCTCGGGCAACCTTGGATTAAACTTTCGAGTATATCAACAAGGTGTCACGCGATTACGAAAAACACACCGTCGTACGCTAAGTACGATATTATATTATAATGTTATTGCGCGTACAGTTATTAAAACGCCATTGTTGAATTGATTCGCGCCGCCGCAAAACAAATATTAAACGCGTGAAATAAGTGAAAAAAAATAAATAAATAAAAAATAATTTACTGTCGACGGAATTTCGAAATGGGCGTTTAACATAATTATATTACTGTGTAACCTTGCGGTGGATAGAAAAAAAAAATTAACGCCGAACCTTATTATCGAAAACTGGATAACTGTATATTATTGTTAACCGTGATTTTTCGAAATTAAAACAGTTCACCGCGTACGATTCGGATGAAAACCAACGTGTACGTGTTACGATATTATGACGCACGAACGGGCAGCGAAAATCGAAATGAAATATTATTTTAATATCGACACTTTTTTTTTTTTTTTTTTGGGAATTTTAAGCGTATGGCGATCGATAATGTGTTGGGTATACGTGCGCTGTTTTATTTCCGCCCTGCGAACTCGATCCGGTTTCCAAGTGTACAGCGTAGTCTCTTCCGAAAGCAAACGGTATCACGATCGGTGCGATTAGTTTTCAATAATCGAGAAATTCCCCGCGGGACGGGTGGGTGGTTGGGAGGGGGGGACAGAGGAATAAAAATGACAATCAAATTTCAGTTAATTTTGATATCGGGTTTTTTTTTTTTTTTACGACGATGGTTATTTTACTATGATATATATATATATATATATATTGTTGATAACGTATCACTATCAACTGAACTCCGGCTCAGAAACGTTTTTTCGTTAACGACGGTTTATCGTTGCTCGCGTAAAATCGTCCATAACAGCGGCTGCGCCCGTCACCATTATTCCAGGTCGTTTTTTTTTTTTTTTTTTTATGTTTATGTTCCGCAAATTACGATAACTGCAGACACGGCAAGATTATCGAAAGCCCAGATGTTTTTATTCAGCGCCTATACTCGTGTGCCTGCATTACGCGAGCTTCGTGAGGGATTTACGGGGAGGGCGCAGGGGGTTTTCCGCTTCAACACGACAGCGGTACGATTTCAATGGAATTTCGTCTAGTAGAGACCGTTGAATTAACCGTTGGAATACGTACGCGGTGTTCCTTGTCGGAGAAACGTCGGAAACCCATCACTCGATTTCGTAAATCACCAACGAAATCGTTTAGACCCGACGGCAGTTAAAAATGTACACGGCTTTTGATTACCGTTTCGATTAACGGCCATCAGTCTTCGCATTCCGACGCGTCCGAAACCGAAAACCGTCGTTTTACTGATTACCCGATCAGAAACAATAATGCAGCAGCAGCAAAAAAAAAAAAAAAAACGTTTTTTTCGGGCACTTTAAGTCGTCATAATGAATTGTAACAGTGAATATAATAGCGTACCGGAAAATTGTTTCCGGATTGTGCGGTACGACAATCGCTGTGCTTTAGAAATTTCTTATTCCGTCCACGGGGAGATATCGTATACGACGTACGTTGTACATCGTGTTAATCGCCCGAAAAATAAATCGAAACCGTCGGAAAACGGAACACGCGTCGTGAAAAAAAAAAGTATTGTCGGACGGAATAATAATAATCATTGCCCGGGATTCCGAGTTACTCGAAATACCCGTTTACTCGGATTTCGGGAAAAAAAACTACGGACACAAACGTGTTCTCGAAATTCTCCGAATTCCGCTCGTACGTTTCGTAGTGGTATTTTACTCCGTCGCAGTTTTCACGCCGATTTCTTCCGATCTCAATCGGCCGTACAGCGTCTCCGGAAATCCCGTCAAATTCTGTTCCCCGTGCGTTTTCGATTTTAGACGCGGAATAGTTTTGCTAAGACGTTTATAATTTTTTTTTTTTTTTTTTTTTTTAATACTGTGTACAAAAAAATCTACCAGAAATCTCGCTCGGGTAATACGCGCGAGGTCGTTTTTTTTGATTTTCCACGCGGTTTTCGCAATATCGGGGAAAAACGGACAATTTACGAGACGCATCCACATTTTCGTGTTAGTTATATGTTTGTTAACTAGTTTGTATTACTGTTCTTTCTGTGTAAGACTTTACTGCCAGCAATTCTCTACCGGGTAAACTTTCATTTTTCGATTTTCCCGAGGGTTTTCGCAGCAAATGTGAAAAACCGGGAAAAAACCATAGGCAAACCGAGAGAACCGGTACACGACATTAAAGAAATATATAACACCTATTTAATCATTTTACAGTAATATGACATATATATATATATTGTTGACGAAGCATCAACTGAACTGCGGTCAGAATCGTTTTTTCGTTACTCGCAATCTATACATTAAACCACGTCCAGGCGGCGGTTGCACCTGTCTCCGTTATCCTAAGACGTCTTTGGTTTTTTTTTTTTCGCTCCGATTTTCTCGGCCAAAACAATTATGTTTCGGTTAACACACCGCGAGGACCGAAGGATCATTTTTTTTTTTTTTTTTTTTTGCTAGAAAACTTTCAGAATTTCCGAAGACCCGAATTTCTCCGGCTGCTCTTTGTTTCGCGGACACGCATGCCGGCGGTGCCGACTCGGCGCAATAAATTTAATAATTTTTTTTTTTTTTTTTTTCCGCGGATCGAACCAAATAAATTACAACGCAACATCAATAATTATATTAATATAATACCTCTATATATTACGATATTAAATTTTTTTTTTTTTTCTTGTTCGTTTTATATCATATACACATAAATATATGATGACCGTTATCGTTATTTTTTTTCTGTTTGTACAGCAGAAATACCATATTAATATTATAGTAATACCGTATACGAAATAAACACAACACGATAACACTATAATTTTTATGTAATAATAATAATAATAATAATAATAATAATAATAATTACAAGACGTGGCGTACGCAAACAACACACACACCACGCGCGATAATACAATGATAACGATGACGTAGTAAACACGTAAATAATTATAACGTTCGAAATGTCTACGCGCGCGAGACCGACTGTTCGATTATTACTCTTCCGATACAATAACAATGTCAATGCAAATAACGCGACGCCGTACAGTATAATAATAATAATAATAATAATAATAATAATAATAATAATATTATTGTTGTTTGATTGTAGACGTGACGGGGAGAAAAAATCGCCGTAACAACGAAATATTATTACGAAAAAAAAAAAAAAAAATCGCGTATACATACGCGGTACATAATAACCGTTGTCGACAAACACCGTCATAGTAATATTGATGTGTGTGTGTGTGTGTGTGTGTGCGTGTGCGCGCGCGTGTGTATATCTGCGTATACGTAGGCGATACGTATTGCCCGCGTATTTTCACACGCACACGCGCGCGGGCGCGTAAGCTTAATAATAATAATAATAATAATAATACGTATCGTTATCATACGTAGTATAAATAATATATGTATGTATTATAATATCGTATAAATAAATAATTAATGACTAGATAATATTATTACAATAATGACGATAAATATTGAAATGATAATAATAATAATAATAATAATAATAATATTAATGAAAATATTCAATCGTAGGTATAAGACACGCAGACGACATGTTACGGATATTATTATACTTATATACTTGATGAAAAAAAAAAAAAAAAAAATTCTAAACAGTTCAGTCTACGGTTAATATTCTATATTATCGATTGCTTCGCGCGACAAACTGGCGTTCGAACGGTAATAACAGTCGGTATTCGTTTTGTCGCGCGTCGGCACGCGAGCGTCCGCCAATAACAACAATAACAACAACAACAACAACAACAACAATAATAATAATAATAATAATAATACAAATACATTACGATCAAATATAAATATTATGACGCGTTTACCGCGTTCTCGATTTTATTATATTTTTTTTCGTTGGCGTTGTTTTTTTTTTTTATTTTAGAGACGATGCGTCTTTTTCTTTTTTTTTTTTTTTATAGATACCGTAAAAAAATACAAGCGATACGACGACGCGAATCACTGTGTTATGCTGTGCGATTGTTATACGAAAAGGTAACGGGGAAAATCGCATTGGACCGCCGTAAACGCGACAATACAAATTGCGTTTTGGTATCGCGGAATCGTTAGTTGAATTGCGTAAAAGCGAAATTATTATTTTTCGTGTTTAAAACCGCGCAGGACGTACGAAATCTTCGTAGAGTCCCAAAACGTTTCCCCCCCCCCGAGTCACAACACACACACACACACACACACACACACATTATGCAACGTTTAAAACGTTCCGATATTGCGACGCGAATTATCGTATACGATATCAACAGCGATTTTAGAAAACATGTACTCGCTTATTGTAATATTAGAATTATACAGGCCGTACAGTCACGTAAAACGGTAGGCGTTTTGTTAAAAGAGCGTGTACCACTTGTAAAAAAAAAAAAAAATGCGTTGCTGATTTGTTTTGCTCCTCGAAAAAAAAAAACGTGAAATTCGATAGGCGCCCTTTTAACGAAACACCGTCGATAATATTATCGTCGCGATACACGCAGTGGCGGTTCGAAAGGGATACGGTTGTATCACGCGATTCGCGAAAAAACGGGCGGGTGGGTCGCGGGCTCCGCGAGTGTTCAGAAACTATATGATTAACGGATTCGAGACTGCGGAAAATTAAATCGGTAATTCAAGGTAAAAAAAAAACACTTCGAGCGAGATTATTTGTAAACGTTTCTCCTCTCCCTCCCCCCGCCCCCCGTTAAATATACACAACGGTTTATCGCAATAATATCGTAATACTCATAAATAAGAAATGGAACGACGAGGAACGCGTGACGAGCGGGAAATTATTACGGGGGAATTTCGACCGGAGCGCCGGAAACGACCGAGACAGGGTCGGAAATTAGAGTGGAAAATAACGTTCGGATATGAGAGCTGCGCGGCTCGTAATTGCGTTTTATGCGTCGAACGGGGACGCGGAGGGGAACACGATTATTGTTTTTTTATTTTATTCAAAGTTTTTTTTTTTATCGCCCTGTAGTATTTTTTATTTTTTGATAATATATCTAGATAATAATATAGTAACCTCAATAGGGACGATGATCCGGGAGGGGGAGGGGGTGCGTATTATTATTATTATTATCATCGTTATCGTTATTGTTGTATTACGACGAGGTGACGGTCATTTGGTCGTCCATCTCGTCGTCGGACATGGCCACGGTGGTGTGGTTGTACAGCCCCTGGGCCATCAGCTGCAGCGCCAACGGGTTCTTCGAGCCGCTAGACTTCTTGATCTTGGCCCGTTTGTTCTGGAACCATATCTTTATTTGGGCCTCGTTCAGGCCCAGCTCGTTGGCCAGTTCCTGGCGCCTCCGTTCCGTCAGGTACCGATTCTCGTTGAACTCCTTCTTCAACCGGGACAACTGTTCGCCACTGAACGCTGTCCTGGGTCGTTTCTCTTCCGGGCACTTGTCCTTCCGTTTCATCCTCCGCGAACGGGGTCCTGTTAAACATAGAAAGAAAAACGTTCGTGTCATTAACAAACAAAAAAAATGAACAATTCGATAACATCGTGACGCATTAGAGTGATGAATAGTTTAAGGGTCGAAGGAATCGAAAAGAATCCGGGCGGTCACGACCACGTCAGGAAGATCGGCATTGCCCGTCGTCGATTGCCGTCAACTGTTCGAGTCGAATCGTTAGGATATGTTTTGCAGACTGACTGCGGGGGCTTTAGACGTGTGGGAATCGACGTTACCCGGGGCTAGAATTCGGAAGAACCACGCGCGGAGTGGCTTTCGTTTTCTCGTAAATTTTTCGCCGGATTCCGGAATCCGGGGTATAATAGTGACCGGATTTCAGTATTGGCGGTAACAACGGCGTACCACGATTTAATATAATTGTGACGCAGATTCGGCGGTACGCTGAACTTTGTGAGAAGAACTTGGACGCGGTTTTGTTCGTACGCCATGGCGGACGAGAAACCCGTCGCGTTATCCAATTCTCCGGTCGCATTTCTGTTTCGTTCGTTACAAAAACGCGGTGGCTTTTACGTTGGACGATTTAGGCGATTTGCAGACGGGTCCGCGGTTTCGGTGACGCGCGCCTGCCGCGGAATGACGACGGTCGAATAACCCGTGACCGTCATTAATTTTGTTCGTCAATTCGAGCGCCGCGCGTTATCCGAATTCGCAAGGGACCTTTACGGGTATTGTGTATACCGCGCGGCCTTTAAACGTCCGACCCGGTTACAATAATTAACCACCCGGCGGGCGCCGCCGTGCGTATATTTGCCGGCGGACGTTTCGCGGCGTTAATTGTTTACCCGTCCAATTATTATTTTATTTTTTTAGATTTTTTTTAGGCGGCCCGCCTAACGAGACGACGAAGACGACGACGACGACGACGGTATGAATAATACGGACAATAAAAAAAAATAAAAAAAAAAAAAAAAAACATAAGAGGAGTGGAAAACGCAACGTGCCGAGTTCCCACGGCCGCGATAATTACAAGTGTATTTACCGGACGTTTTGTACCGTATGCGTATACAGTACACGTACATCCGCGTACGCGCAGTTCGAAAGCCGTAAAGAAATCGTTGTTCGCCTCTACCGCCGAAAAAATAACACTTTTTGAAGTGTAGCAGCTCTTCCGAAAAGGAAATCGTTGCGGAGGGGTCGTTTTTTTTTCGGGGGTTTTCTCGTCAGATTCGAAAATAAAACGGATAAAACGTGGGAAAACCGGGCGAAACGTAGGAAAACCGGGAAAATCGGTACGACATCAAACGAATAATGTTAAAGAAAATGTACTATCAATTATTTCGACGGGTACGCGTTTACGACGGTACGCGATGACGCGTACCTATTTTTTATTATATTTTTTTTTTCCATATTACCTGCGCCGCCGTGTGGGCGGAGCCGTCGGACCGTACGCAAACCCTCGCGACCTACACCGCCGCCGCAGCAGCCGATGGGAACCGTCCGTCGTCGTAACGAACGAAAAAAGAAAAAAAATAATAATAATAATAAATACGTCCCGTGATTTCGGTATTTTCTCTCTCGAACGATAGTTCGTGATGTGCAGCTAAGCAGCGCGCACATACCGCCGATAATTATTATTATAGTTACCCCCCCCCCACCCCACCGATCGCTTATTTACAGACCGTATCCGGTTCGGGGCCGGAGCGGTATAATAGGCATTAGCGGTGGGAATAATCCGGATTTGCCGGAGTTCGAAAACGTTTTTTTCGTCTAAAAATATCAACATTAATAGTAATTAACGATTATCAGTATTATTACCGGAAAAAAATACAAAAAATATATACACCAAGGTAATATTCGTATTTACGACAGTTGTAAAATCTCCGTGTCCCCGCACGTTTTTTTTCTCGGTTTGTCCCGTAATGACTGTGAAAACCTAAATCGAACGCATTGACGTCCGTCGAAACGGATTGTTTTCGGCGGCGAGTGCACTCGCTCGGCGGGAGAAAGCCGTAAACCGACGCGTGCCGTTTCGACGAGCAATCGAATTCGATTTCTATCCGTTTCGATTCGGTCCGTGCCCGGGAAGGGCGCTTGTTTCGGTCCCCGGCGCTGTATTCGGCGAGAACGGGTTCAAAGGCTATCGAGAGCAACTCGCGGTGTTGAAATACACCGAGAAAAACCCGAACAACGGGCAAAACGGAGTCGTGACTCCCGCCGATCGCGGCGGGTTTACGCGTCTACGTGAAAAATATTTCGCGTTAGGACCCCGATGGTGCGCACCGGCAGTTTTAACATATAGACAACCGTTACCGGTACGCCGGGTGTCGTTTTGATTTCCGGACGAAACGCGCGAGCGCGAACGTTATGGTCACGCCGACCTCGCGATGTTTACGCAAACATTCGAGTTCGATAACGCGGGCACAAGTGGGCGCGAACACGGCGGAAAAAACGGGAAGCGCACAAAGAAAATAATAAACGAACAAAAAAGACCGGGTCCGCCAGCACTCGCGTGGTCCGCCGTTCTCCTAACGTTTTTCAGCGCACGCGGAAAACCGCTGAAAGGCGCGAGCGTAGGGGCGGAATGCGGGACGAAAAAAAACGCTCGCCGCCCGCGGTCGCGGTCCATTTAAAAAAGGCGGCGCGGGACGAAAAGCCGCGCGCATTTCCCCACGATATTATGCGCGTGTCGGCGCGCCCGACACCGCGGATCGTGACACCCGGCGCGGGCGTTTTCATTAATAACGCGGCGCGCGCGCGGTTCCCGGACGTTTGAAAAGCGTCGGGCGCGCTCCATTAGTGCGCGCGGAAAATCGCCGCGACGACGATAGTAACGATAACGATAATCGCTTATCCCGTATTTACCGCCCGGTGGCACGATGCGTGCGATATTTATCGCATTGTGTGCGGAACCTCCGCAAAGGTTTTTGACAAATGACAGACGGCCCATGCCCGCGGCAATATTTGCGGAACGATGCGGCGGCGGAGTACCGTGCCGTTCGCGTAAGTGGCGAGGCGAACGTTTCGGGATAAAAGGCCTTAGAAAATATAACGTGAACATATTGTACGGAAAGCGAGCGGGTTGTGTGGGGAAGGGGGGGTATTTCAATAGGGACGCCGAACATTTGAATCGAGAAAACGTTTTTCCGGACACATTCGGTTCGCTCGTTTATTAATCGTATTTCCGCTTTACGTTTGTAATACTGAAACGCTTAATTCGTATTTTTATTTTTTTTCTAAACTACGCCGCGATTTAACAATCTTGCTCTGGAATGCTTTTTTTTTTTTTTTTTCCATATAACGTCTCATTTTGACGCCACAGACGGTCGGACTGAGAGGCGAACGCGGCGGCAGTTACTTTTCGAGATTAGGTTTTTCGATTACCTTTTGAATTTCACATTTTTTCGACAACGCCCACTCCCCCCAATTTTATGCGATCCCAATAAACGTCTACACAAAAAACACGATGACTTAAGGGGACTAAATCGTCCATCAACCTCCTATTCAATTTTAATTTTAAAGGGGAAATGGTTTTTTTTTTTTTTAAATATTATTTCTTTTCAATATTCTTTGAGGCAGCGGTGATTGAGGACGTACGGGAAATCGGGGGATTTTGGTTTGAGCGAAGTTTTGATTGAAATTTATCGTAGCGTCGTGTTGTTAATTCAGTAACTGTCGGGATTTGTAGAGCGTCGTTGGGCTCTAGTTATTTTTCCATTAAATATATGGTGAACTCGTAATGACGGACACAAAACCGAATGATTTCGGCTGTTGAATATACGAAATATACGGTACCTAAACAATATAAAATTGCAAACTGTTTTAATTTTTTGTAGATTTTTAAGTGTTTTATATACATATAATCTTTTGTGACCAACAACAATTTTCGAATTGTCTGCTATTTTACTTTATTCAGATACATGCAACGATTTCGGCAACGTCGCTTTCAATCGTACGCTTTTTTGAAGGCTCGAAATCGTGATTTTATTTTATTTTCCGGAAAAAGTCATTTTTTTAATTTTGTCTTTGTCGTTGTTTTTGTGCAACTATTGCCGAATTCCACGTCACGACCAATTAAAATACTCGGTGCAAATCAAATTGTTCCGTCCCGTAACGGCGGCACACGCCGCGGAGTCGCTGAAACCTGGACGGGAAATATACGGAAATTCGCGCGTCACTCGCCCCGTCGCCTGGCTAGCCGCCACTGTGGCAAATATGGCTTGTAAAATACGCGAATTGACGGAAAACGATATTTTACACAGAACTCGAATTGTTATTATTATCTCTGTATACAATATCCGCCGGATGTTCTTTCGTCGGCCACTTTAACTGAACGATGATGATGATGATGATGATAATAATAAACTGTCGTACAACGTTGTACGGCGACGGCGGTGCTGGATAAAAAACGGATATTTATACGAATTGCTGCGGTGGTGTTGTCGTCGCGCGTCGTTTATTCAATATAAATAATAAAATTACCGTAGTCTTCGAATCCGGAGCGCGCGGAACAACTTCCGTTTGTACGCCGGCACATCATCGTGTAACGTCCAAACAACTCGGTCAAAAAAAAAAAAAACAACACATATATACTATAAAGTATACAAACTATTTCATCGCCCGCGGCTAATTGAAGGGGTCGTTGCGTCAACAAGGCGAATCCGAAATTGTTTTTTGACAGTTTCGAGTTGAAGTAATAAACGCTTCGCATAATTTACCGCGACAACAACTTGCAAGTCCGTCTACTGGATACGTAAATACGCCGTATTACGCAATAAGAATACTAGTCCCGCATAGACGGATAGGTTTCACTTTACCTTAGAAAATTTCGAAAAATGGACGCAGGTGAGAAAAAAAAACCTTGAGTTCTGATGATTTCAACTTCAGATTCTATTCAGTTTTCAATTTTTTATTCATTTTCATTCGCATTTCGTTACTCTGTCGTATGCGAATCACGTGATTCTCTAAGCCGTTTATTGTGTATAGAAATCCCGTACGTCATCACTATAAATATTCTTGCGGCCGTTCGACAAAAAAAAAAAAATCGAACACGCGAACAGCCCAAACGATCCAAAAAATGAATATATTTGGTGATTTTTACAAATTTTATCGTGACAATTGAATGTTTGAACGCTTGTTCGGAAAACAATCCGCACTACAAATTCTCGATATTTGTATAGATAACAACGATGAGGACGAGCATCGGGCATTTTCGGCGTGCCATAACTCATAAAACGCCAGTATATTTTGAAAATCCCTAGAATATTCCGGGTCGAGATTTATTTTCACCGAATTAAAACAAAATCGAATTAAATTTGCGGGAAATTTCCCATTTTTCGGACGCGACGGACGACTCCCCCCCCCTCCCCACGCCCGATACAAAAAAAAAAAAAGTCTTCTCTCCGACACGCCGCGATACAGCTCTTCAATAAAGCTCGGGAACAAATGCGAGCATTTATAGCGAACAAATGTGCGAATAAAAGATCAACAGAGCGTTATGAATGCAAACAGTCAAACGAAGAAACGCCCGAACATTGTTAATTAACATAGTGCGTAGCGAAAAAAAAAAAAAAAAAAAAAAAAATTATCCGGTCGGTTTCGCGTAGTTAATTAATTTATTTTAATGGTTTTGTTTTTGCTTTGTTGTTTCGCTGTTTACAAGTAAACGTCGTTTGTAATACAGTCGGAAACCCGCCGTTCACGTCCACACCGCATTCAAACGGCCGCGTTTCCGGTGCGCGCCGTCGCGTCAACAATGTCGTGTTAATTATTTCCGCCGCGGGCGCGAGCGGCCGGCAGGCAACGCGATCCGTGTCGTAACGCGTGAAACGGCGGCGCGAACACCCGGGGAATCACGGGCGGCCGGGGCGCTGGACGCGCCGGCGGGGAATTGAAAACCGTCGTCGTTCCGGCGGCCCGTGTACTGTGTACTGTGACCACTGGACGCGCGCCGGATTCGTTGGCGTAACGAAACGGGCGTTTCGCGATTTCGCGTTTCGCATTGCGGGGCGACCGCGTCAACGGGACTGTCCGGACGATTTTCGCGCGCCGAATTATTATTCGGCGTCGGATATTGTCCGCACGTCCGACACGACAACGTCCCGCGAACGTTTCGGTTTCACGACGCCGCGATCAGAATCGGAAATATTTGCTGTCGGCGACAACCGCGCGGCTGTCGTTTTTCGTTGTTTTTTTTTTTTCCCCCGATTAAGTCTGCGTAACGCGAACGCAGTCGTCGGCGGGCCCGACGAACCGTTAAAAACGGAACCGTTCAAACTCAAAGTAGTACCTGCTGCTGGCAAATGTAAACAATTTCACAAAACGACACCGGGGAAAAAAAAAAAAAAAACCCTGATCATAATGTAATAATTGTTGGGCCGGAATTGACGATTTCTCAATATGATCTTGTTAACTCAACCGACGCAAATTATGCGAACGCGTGGAACGCGCGCCCGACATCTTTAAGACGGTGACCAATTTTTCCGACTTTCCGCGGCGCGCACGTGTTGGCGAATACGCGAATCCGGTTGGCCACTCAACATTTTCGCAGTGCACGTTTCCTGTACGTAAATACGATTCAAACCTCGATGCTTGTGCGAAACGTCCTAAAAAACAACGCTGCGTGTACAATTCGACAGCGGTGTGTTTTTTTTTTGGACATTCGGAACGCGATTTCCATTCGCGTCTCGGCAGTTTGAGACCGCGCGCGCGCTAGAGGTGGAATGGATATCGTTATTGTTGTTTTTGTTGTTATTGTTATTGTCTGCTGTCCCTAGCCGAAACGACGCCCCCGAGCCGCGGCGGCGGTGCCCGGAAACCGCCTTTGTGCGAGACGTTTTTTTTTTTTTCCAAATTTTTTTTTCCCCCATTGTAACCCACGTAATTATATCCGTTCGTCAAATATTATCGTATAACAATAACAAACAAAACGCGTTCGGTAACAGTCAGGTACTGGACGCTCGTCGGGCGGCGGACGCGTTTATTTCGTCCGTTCGGTTGTTTTTTTTTTTTTTTTTAACGAGACGACGCGTCGCTGTCGATTATCGGCGGCGGAATATTGGCGGAAAAACAAAAGGGTTTCCGCGTTCAGAATAACGTCTCGGAAAAACCGTCCCGGTCGCTGCGCGATTGTTGCGGCCGAGTTTCCCGAGTTTTCGCGCGCGGCGGCGGGAAAAAAACGGAAGGAAACGTAACGTAAAAGTCGCCGTTACTTGCGGAAAAACGCAAGAAATCGACTCTCCCCCCCCCCGTCCCCGGTGAAACGGTAAGTAACTCGAATTCTATCATTTTTCACTTTTGACGAAAACTTCGCAGGTAGGTAAAGTACCTACACGACCATCAAGATTAGTAATCTCATTACGGCTCTGTTGCGCGATTATACTTTATAACATTATTGATTATTATACCGTCTCGTTTTCGATATTTAAATAAAATAATTTAATTGGAAAATATCATTTTAGTACTGATCTATAGGATCATATTCTATAATATAACTTAACATTACGAATCACTAATCCATATTTTACCCGCGATTAAAGACGACTCCAGTTACTTCTACATAATAAACGATTTTCCCACAGTCATATTCAATCAATCGTACAAATTACAATTTTTCGACAAGACAGTTAAAAAACGATTGAAATCTAAGTTGTAGCTTATACTGAAAAATGATAAATGTTGAGTTCCTCCTTTGGGAGAGTTGAAATGAACACCGACGAAAGTAATTTATACATTTTATTACACCCCGCACGCGGAACATCACATTTTCGGTTGACGTAACGTGATTGTAATACGCATGCGATCGCTAATGCCCATCACTGCGTCCGGAACATATAATTTGACTGGTTTATTTTTGTAGCGTAATGGAATAAAAAACATTCGTTGTACATGCCGACGGAACGTTTGTGTAACATGGACATTTAACAACTCGGCAATATTTCCGAATAGCGAACACATTCACATCAAATACGATAAATAAAAACGTACGTAGAAAAAAAAAAAAATGCGACCGAACACGCCGTCGGGTATCGAACCTAACACCATTCACCCGATTCCCCGAATCCACTAGGCCCGATGCGTGACGACGTTTCGTACGTATATAAGCTACCGTCGAATGTGCAATTATTAAATATGATTTCGGGTTAACCTCGAAGTCGAGGACTGTTTTAGTAACGGGGAAATCAGACCAGGGGGTTCGGCCTGGGCGGGAGGGGGCGCGCGCTGTGCTCTTCCATTGCGAAAAAAAAAAACGAACAGCGGCGGTATTGCGGCTATGCGTGTATTATAAACTACTGCGAAGCGTAATAAAATCGAATCGAAATCAAGTGCAAACCGACACACACGCACAAACGGTGTTTATGTAAACGGCTATTTGTAATCGCGTATTGCCGCGATGTTTGTGTGTGTTTACGCATTCGTTTAGGCGCTCTCCGGCACCCCCACCCCCACCCCCACCGCCCCCCCCCCCCGTCCCGTCCCGACGTCGTCGCGGCGTCAGTGTTTGTTTTTAACGTCGCGCCGCGGAATAACGAGACTCGGGCGACCCCCGCGCTCCGGCGTATTCCGGCGTTATTTCCGCGGGTTCGCCGGGGGGCCGTCTCGCGGACGTTCGCCGCGTCTACCCTCGCGGCCGCGACGCGCGTGCGCGCAGGTACTTTCGGCGGCGGCGGCGGCGGCGGCGGCGGCGGGGACGACCCCGAACGCGATGGCGGCGGCGGGAAATCATTATCATTACTGTTATTGTTGTCGTCGCCGTATTGTCATCCGTGCCGGGAGCGCGTTTTACGGCGCGCGGCGCGCATTGCGTGTGTGCGTGCGCGCGGCCCGTTACGCGGCGTTTTCGGTTCGCCCTCCGGTGCGCCGCTGCCGCCGCCGCCGCCGCAAATCGTCGAGCCGTTTTTCCCGCATCGTATACGCGGCGCGCGCGTGTTTTTCTCCCGGTTTCCCGGCGTCTTCCGCGGCTCCCGACGCCCGCGCATCCCGGCCGCAAGTGCACGCCGGCGGGATAGAACGCGTTTGCGTTTATCACGCGGGTCGACGACGCTACGAACAATACTGTTTTTTTCTCTTTTCTCTCTTTTTTTTTATTTTTTTTTTAATTATTTTTTTTATATATTACGGGGTTTTCGTACGGATACCGCGCCGACCCCGCCCCATCTCCTGCAGGCGAAACCTATCCGTAACGGCCCCACGTGACAGCCCGCGTTCGCTGCGCCTCGTCTAACGTTTCGGGTTCACGTTCGGCCGACGTCTGTGCGCCGGTCCCGAGGTGGGTCTTGGTATAAGCCGCGTCCGCCGCGCGTAACCAGTGTGCGATTCGCGCGTAATCCGATCGGTCCGTCATGCGTGCGTAGCTTTGGATCGGGCGTCGCGCGTCCGTTACGTACGCGCCAAATACTCCGAACGGTTGTGGGTTCGTTCGGGGGGGGGGGTTCAGGGGTTTTTATGGAAATTTCGATACTCTCGGACATTGTCTGATATTTGATCGGATCCGACCGACCGTGTTGGGCGTATCGTAAATTGTATCGCGATACAATATTTGCGAAAAACTGGGATAAATTAACCACGGCGTTGTTGTTTGTTTTTTTTTTTATTTTCCTGTGCACGTCTATTTCTACCAGCGATTTCGCTCCGATTCAAAACTATAGCAGTTTTTCTTAATGGAAATCCGCGACTGGGGATATTTTCGATGTTCCCAAGAGTTTTCCCAACGAAAACCAGAGTTCAACGCGTTAGATGATTATCAAATAAAAAAAAATACAAAACGGCATTTTCGTTTAAAAGTCTCATAACGGCCATTAAAATGCCGAACGTTTCAAATCTTACGAAATCGGAGAGAATATCCGGAAAACTCGAATCAGCGTGACGGTTGGAAATCGCATTATCGTTAACGTTATTTGTACACCACAATAATCAAAGAGTTCGGTTAATTATCGGATAAAAAACAAACGAAATATCCCAACGCCCTCTTGTACGATATTGTTAATTTTTTTTTTTTTTATTCGATAAAATTTGATAAAATAATATTATGAAAATATTCACGGGCCGGCATCCGATATATCGTCGGATTTTTATTGAATTCGATTTTTGTTTTTTTTTTTTCAATCTTTCCATGATGGAATCGTTCGGTGATATTTTGATTTTCGACATGGAACGCGTACTTTTAGTTTTAAAATAGAAACGAACCTCACCCCCTCCCCCCCCCAAAAAAAAAAAAAAAAAAAATTAAAAATTCCATTTCAAACTCTACATATTCGAATAGAAATTAGAGTAAGGAACGCGGTAACACGCATATTTTCGTGACATCAATTCGGTGCATGCGAATTCCGTTTTGAGAAAATTAAAAACAAAAGGAAATCCTTCGTTCTTCCACAAAACGGTGACAAACCGCTCCGAAACTCGAAATCGGTCGTATAGGCCGAAAACCATTATTATACTGTCCGTTCGAATATTCCGCGTGGAATCTGGAAAATCTGGCGAATGTGGTGCTACTGGAAAATCCGGGAGGTGAACCTCGGTGGTGTAAATATGGCGGACAATCGCCACGGGCCCAAGTGGCCCAGACGGGTCATAAGCGGCTGTACTAGACACGTCTTTTTGTACGACTTTTAGATTCCGTGTGGGCCGTGTTTTTTTTTTCCAGCGGACAACTTTTCTGCCGGAAATTTGTCTAAAAGGAAACGTCACTGATACTTTAGAGAGGTCGTTTTTCGATTTTCCCCGGAGTTTTTTCAACAAATGTAAAAAACCGAAAAAAAAAAAAAATAATACAAATATATTATTGCCTCATTTTTCCCTGTGGACAATTTTTCTACCAGCAATTTCCGGCTGGTAAACCGGGAAACGCGTGGAAAAACCGGGGAAATCGGTACAACCTAAGAGAAATGTTTATTCAATAATTGTCTCAATATTAACACACGTATTCATTTGTATTATATATTTTTGATGGCACCATCATTTTCGGTTTTCTGCTCGAAATCGTTTGTTTCGTTTACGTTAAATTCCCGTCTGTGGTCTACCTTCCCAATTTCCCACACACACATACACACACACACACACACACACACACACACAATGGCAATGAGTTTCGCCCTCATTTCGCGTATCGATCGCCATACACCCGACTGTGCATACACGCGATACGCATATTATTATTATCGTTATTATTTTATAATAATATAATATTATTACGTATGCGTCGTATATTTTTTTTTTTTTTTTTTTTACCGCTCTGTGTGCGCGCCGTGTGTCTCGGCGAATCCGCCGGCGCTCGGGTCTTGCCGCCGCCGTTGTAATAATAATAATAATAATAATAATAACAATAAAAAAATGTCCGTATATTAATAAAAAATAATATTTCGCCACGACCGTTTTCTTGTAAATTGGTTCCGTACTTTAGCAACCGAATCGCAATCGTCCGTAACCACATATTCGACGTCCGTTACCTAAACCGAGAAAAACCGTTTTTCCCATACCGGCGCTGCCGGGTGGCGTAATATTATTTTAATGTGCTGGTCCGGTGTTACGTTACGGCAACCGTACGGGAACAACGGTTTTTCGGGTACTTGGTCCGGGTTACGAATTCCGAATTTGTAGTTACGAGTGATTACGAATCGGCTACTAAAGTACGGAACCGATTTAAAAGAAAACAGTTTTTAGTGCCAGTGTAAACGGATTTAAATATTTTTTTCAATTAGAAGAACGTTTTTAGAAGAACCAAACAGATAGAAGACGTCCTAGGAAAAATAATAAATATAAATTACGACTATTTTTTTTCTGCGGACAGCTTTTCAATCAGCCATGTTTCTAAAAGGAAATCTTATAAATTACAGGAAAACCAGGAAAAACGTAGGAAAATCGGTACAATATTAAACAAATATTATTAAAGAAAATATTAATGCTTTAATTATTTGATTATTTTTCCATAAAATGACATGTATATGTATATATTGACTGAACTCGGCTCAGAATCGTTTTTTCTACTACTCAGATTACTCACGATTTCTAACAAATCGGTTTTTCAAACGCAATTATGTCCCGGAATATTATTAATATCCATAATAATAGTTTTAGGAGTTTTTTTTCGGTAGAATATTAAAAGAAACATCGTTACGTCTATGAATTCGACGTTTTCATCATTTCTCATCTCTCTAGTTATTTTCGGGGATGAAACTTTTGCGCGGCAACCGACATTGAAATGTCGACATTATCACGAGTACAATATCGAATCCAGTCCAATTGGCAGTTAAACAATAAAAAAAAAAAAAAATAACTCGCGTACATAGCGACGGTTCGCGTTTGGATGCGTTGTTCGCACGAGCGCGTACCGAAATCGAAATCAACTTTGTTTCAACGCGAAATCCGCTCCGGTCGGTTTCACTTTCGTTGGGCGGTCAAACGCGAATACAATCGAAACCTTGATTGGTTTCGGACAGTTAAATCAACCGGACTTTTCCACGTTGGCTTTTATTGACTCGTCAACGGCCCGGCCGGCCTTGCGAACGTCACTGTCGTGGCATTAGTTCGTTCGGTTGAACAGAAAAAAAAAAACCGAACCGAACCGTTCGGCACGACGCGGCGGCGGCGGCGGCAGAAAAAAACCGTAGAAAAAAGAGGAACCGCCGCCGCGGACGGTACGTTGGGCGTGGCCAATTTCTCCCGTAACCCGCGCCCGCCGCCGACGACACGACGACTATTACAACAACAACAACAACAACAACAACAATAATAATAATGTAGCGGAGCCCCGAGGGGTTCTCTCGGTTTACCGACCGCGCGGGGATACGGTGTGTGAAAAAATACGACGTATAATACACTCGCACGCACACGCTGCGCCTACAATGTGTACGACGTGCGCGTAATAAAGCGAGAGGACGGCGTCGCGCGGAGTCTTTTTTTTCTTTTTTTTTCGGGGATAGGATTTCGACCGGGAGTAGTGTGGTTGTGTGGGGGGTGGAGAAAAAAACCCGTAGTACCGTACGTACGCGCGGCTCGTATGTTATTACCGTCGTCGTCGTCGTCATTATTACTTTGTTTCGCCCCTCACTCTCACCCGCCGCGTACGCGGTCGTCGCGTTACGCGTACGCGCGGCGACCTCCCGCCGGAGCGGCGCGTCTGCCGAGAGCGAGCGACCGCGCACGCGCGAGCGCCCGACAGACGACTCGAACGGATAGCGCGAAACGGGAGAGGAAGTAAAAAGAAGCGGTTATTCTCGCGTCCCGATCACGAAGAGAATTCCGGAATTCCCCGGACGTGTAGCGACGCGCGTGACGACGACGGTGCGGCGCGTCGCGTTTTCGTCGGATTCCGTAGCGGGCGCGCGGTGCTATCGCCGCGTAATGCGGTTTTCGGTTTTTCCGCGCGCGAATCCCGGCGAAAAACCCGAGTGCGCGCGTTTCCCCGCGTTCGGGTTCACCGAAATCCGAAACCGATGCCGGGTCGGACGCGTCGCGTAAAAGTATTCCGGAGCGAAAAAGGGGATGGGAGGGGGTGGGGGAAACGCTCGCCGCGGTGTTGCGCTCTCGCGGTAACTCCCCCCCCCCCGATAGCCGTTAACGCGCGCGTATTAATAAAACGAAAAAAAACAAAACAACCGACGCCGCGGACGCGTGTTGATTCTCTCGCCGAAACGCGGTTCTCGTTTTTTTAACGCCGCCCCGCGCGATAACAGCAACAGCAACAACAACAACAATAATAATAGCAATAACAATAATGATAATAATACCCGCGACCGTAAAAATTATAAAAAAAAACGAAAAACGCGCATTACGGGACATTGTTATTGCGCGTACGCATGCCAGTGGTTACGCGCACGCACGCGTCGCACTCCGCTCGGCGGTCGGGTGTAATTAAGTGATTATTATTTCGTAATGTTGTTTCACGTCCGTGCCATAACCGAACGGGACTCCGTAACGCGCTCAAAAAATATCACGATAATAAGCGCGTAACTCGTAACCTTGGCGGCGGATCGTTTCGTTTCGTTTTTTTTTTTTTTTATTTTCTTTCCCCCGCCGTGATTCCGGCGGTCCGTTTTCCGCCCGGGAAACCCGTCGTATCGGAACACGTGTCGCGGGCGGCCGGCGGACCGTTCGGAAAAGTCGCCGGCGATTGTTCCGAACGGACGCGCGTCTAACCGGCCGTTTTCGTCAGATCGAGCGGCGACCGGAACGCGCGCGGGGACGACCGGTTCGCGTTCCGTCGAGACCGATCGCGAACATCGCTCGCACTGACTACGCGGTCCCGGGCCCGGAATACACCGGCGTCGACCGCGGACGCGACGAACCGTTCACGGGACCCCGACACGAATGAACCGCGTATACGACGGCCTCCGTCGCTGTCATCATCGCCGTGCGAACGCGCCGCGAACACGGACTCTTACATCGCTGTCATCATCGCCGTTGCTGGCGGCGCGCCCGTGCGTCCGTCGGTAAGCTGCGTTTCGGACCGCGTTGTGCCGACGGATTAACGACCGGGCGCCGGTAGAACGCATTCGGGACCGTTGTCGCGGCGTCACGTTTCCACCGTGCGGTTTCGCGGGAAACGTCCGGTCCGCCCCGTTGGGTTCCCAACGCGGTTTGTTTCGACCGACCGTCCGGTAACGAATCGACACCGGTCGCGTTGTCACGGCGCCCGGCCGCCGCGAGCGGAGCGCGGTCGCGGTCCGAAACCGCGGCGTTCGGATCGTTCGTTAAACCGGATGCGGAAAGAGACGAAACGAAACCGCTAATCAAATATTAGCGTAACGTTGTAAGGTGACAGAGTGTTCGGGAAAATCAATACGACCTGTACTACAGTAATCCGTCAAACAACATGGCCGGCCCGTCCCTCCCACTCTCGCTCGCTCTCTCTCGCTCTCTCTCTCTCTCTCTCTCTCTCTCTCACTCCCCGTTAAACGTGTTTTGTTATTTGTTGCGTCGGCAATATTCACGGTCGATATCGTTACGTCAACATCGTTATCACAATAACGCGGTAATTGTCGCGGCTTCAAAACGATCGAAAAAACGTCGATAGGCGCCCGATGCGATCGGAACGGTTGGGTTTAGAAACAAAAATTTAAAAAAAAAAATACCCGAACAACAACGACGGCTCTGCGGAGCGACGGTCGCGTAACGCATTTCCTCCGTACGCGTTACGTCTGTCGCGCACGGCGCGTTTGGACCCGGACGACGGCGTTTCTCGAACGGTCCACACCGCGGTAGGTCGGGAACGTCCGTACACCGGATAGCGCGTGAACCGACGTCGCCGCGGTACGACGGCCGACGTCGTCCCGCCCAATGACGGCCGGCCAACACTCGGACGCCGACCGTACTAGACATCCGGATCCGGTATGAGAAAAAACAAAAAAACAAAAAACAACAATCGTATTCACGCGCCGAAAAACGCCTCGGTACGTGCCGCGCGCACGGACGCGGCCGGACGACGGCTGTTTCCCGGGCCGGACGCGAATTCCGTACGGCCGCGCCACTGTCCGCGGTTTTCCAATCGAATCGCCGTTGGAAGTTTACGCGCGGCCCAAGTAACGTCCGAAACCGAAACGCGGTTCCGCGAGTGCGCGCGTCTTGTGTTTGTAATTTTTTCCTTTTAAGTTGTTTTTCGTTTTAGTCACGCAAACCGAACTGGCGATATAGTGTCTATTGGACGGCGTTAACGTGTTTTTTAACGTCTCGAGGTTCGAACTTAGTTTCGCGCGTCCGGGGGCGAAAAAAAAAACCCGTCGCGCGACAGGCGCATATTTTTCGAAACGCCGCACAGTATTTTTTAACGAAAAAAACACTGGGCTTTTGCAGGTACAGTACGAGTGAAAAATAAACGTATCGTTTAAACTCAATAAACATAAACTCAATCGCGATGATTGACGCACACGCGTTTATAGAATTACGTTTACGATCAAATGATATCAATTTTAATATTTATCTGTACGTTTTGATTCGATTTTTTTTTTCTATCCGTATCGGCGAACCAACCCGTAAATCAATGATAATGATTATTTCAGTGCATAAAAGTATAAATTTCGCGTTCATAAAGATATCCGTATCCCAGAAAATACGAAGTGTCGAAAACCTATAGTGAAAATAAAACGCCGACGAAAAAAGATTCTGAGCGCGGTTCAGACTATCATTTCAACAATTCGTTTAGAAACGTAAACATTTGTTATCAATATAACGTATCCATAATATTCATGCTATCCGGGTTTGGTTTCTGGGTACGCTCGAAACGCATTTGTTTTTTTCTTGTCGGTAAAACGGAAAAAATAAAATGCAATTTATTTTCGACACACTGGTTTGAACTCGGAACCCCTAAGATAGAAATAACCATAAATAGGCATAAATAACATAATAGTTATAAGATCACCACAAATACGCTTCAGTATAGAGTTAAATTTGACATAACATATAATTTCAGAACTACCAAAAGCTATAATTTCGAAACTCAGTCGGTCCGATTAATTCTGACTTCATCGTCGTTCTTAAATAGGCAATATGCACATTTTCGAAAAAAAAAAAAAAAAAAAAAAATTGAAAAATTAGATTTTTCATTACATTTGTTAGATTTATTTAACTAGCCGAATAAACCCAGCGGCATTTCTTCGTTGTACCGTTAAAAACGTATCGAATTTCACGACCCGGTGTCGTTTCGTCGGAGCGTGGGCGAACGAAAACGTTTTCTGCACGTCGATTCGCGTGACGATTGGTTTCAATTTTATTTGAAAATAACGGCGACCGGTGGTGGCGAGGCAAATGTTTTGAAAACGACGCGGGGAAGACGCGAAATATCGTGTTTACTGTCATAGAAAATATGAAACGAGATGGCGCTGTTATAGTTGATCGGTTGATTGTTTATTCGCATTCGTTTTTGAAATATTAAAAATTCCCCATAAGGAAATCGCTTGAAGAGCGCCTCGCTCCGTTCAATTGGATACGTTTTCCCGTTGACGACGTTTCTGTATTGAAAAAGACAATAAATCGTTTCGAGGGTATCGGTTACAATCGGCAGTTTACTGGCATTTAGCAACGCGGTAACGCGTGATCGGGCAGTACGTTTTCGTTTTCGGACCGTCGTCTCGGGCAACCGCTGACAACGATTTCGGGCGAGGTTTTTATTTTTTTTTACGCCCGTAAACCTGTATATCGGAATACGATTACGCGATTCTCAGTGGGTCGTCTCGGGCGCATTGTATTTTACACGGTGTTATGTCGACGCGATTGTGCGAGCCCGAGAGTGAGAGAGAGAGTGAGAGTGAGGCGGACGAGACGAAACGATTGATTCGCCGACGCTCGGCTGCGGCGCGCGGCGAGATAATCGGGCCGAAAAAAGATTGTCGGGGCGCGCGCGAGGGAAGACGGTTCGCGTTTTATCGATCGCCGTAGCTCGCGTTTTCGTGCAATAAAATACGGGGCGATTTTTTTCTTTTGTTCCCCGACCCCCCTCACCACGACCCCGCGACGTAAGACAATGGACGTTTATCGCGCCGTCCGTACCGACGACGCGCGGCGCGACCGAAAACCCTTTCGGCGGGACGCGCGCGGATTTCGCGGCCGGCGAGGTGTCGGAACGGGTTTTTTCCGTCCTGACGGGCTTCCGGCGTTTCGCGCGAGCGCGCCGGAGCCGAATTTCGGACGACGGGCGGACGAACACCGACGAGCGGCGCGCGTTGGACATTTTCGGAGTTTCAGTGGCGCCCGCGAATCCGTATTTCCGTTCGCCGTGTGCAGTGGCGCGACCCGCGCGGCGCGGTAAAACGGTACGCCGCCGCCCCCGGCGCCCCGAAACGAACGCTCGGTGACGCGCGGAACGGACGGAACCGCGGTCCCGGCGCTGTCGGCTCGACAGACGCCGCGTTGTAATTGTTATCGCCGAACAAAACGCTTTTCCGCGCGGGGAAATTTCCGTTTCGCGTCGGATATTCCGCGAGACCCGCGCCGAGCGTCCCGCCGTCGCGCCGCGCACGCGGGGCCGGCGGATTCGACGGGGAAACGTTTGAGCTACGTGAGTAATTGATTGTTTTCGGCGACAGACGCGCGGGCCGAACGGCCGACCGACGGAGAGTTTCGGCTTTTTCTGTATTTCTTTTTCGGTCTTTTCGCCGATACGCGGTCGGTCAGACACGCGCGCGCAATAGAACAGTGAGCGGACGGGGGGAGGGGGGGGAGTGTTGGGACGAGAAGGCCGTCGTTTACCGTTACCGATGACAACCGATTCCGTATCGAGGACGAGACGACCCGTGCGGCGTACACCGGACGGGAATTCCGACGGCGGTGACTGCGGCCGCGTAACGCAGTCCCGTTCGCCGACGGCCCCCCCTCACCCTCCCCGGCGGGAAAACGAAGTAAGCGACGAACAAAGGGCGTACCGGATGCCGTACGCCCGCGGGATTCCGTTCGCGTCGTTGATTCACGGGCGCCGCCTCCGTGCGGCTACGGCGAACGCGTTCCGAAGACCGTGGACCGTCCGAAAGGACGAAACGGCGAACCGGCGTCGCGTGGACTTTTTGAAAACGAAAAAAAATTAAATATATCCGTATACCTAGTTTTTTATCTGGATAATTTCCGTCGTGTTGCGCGCGAGACACCGACGATTGCCGCCGCCGCCGCCGCGAATCGGGATAATTCCGTTCGCGAAACGGCGCGGGGAAACCGGGATCGGACGCGGTGCGTTCGATACGAGTATTGCGGTTCCGGGATTCTCGTTGTGAACTGTCTCGTCGGTCCCCGAGAGAGAGAGACAGAGAGAGAGAGAGAGAGACGCGCGAACGTCGGCGCAAACGGTCCCGGCTCCGGTCGCCGGTCGAGTTCGGCGCGAGTGTCGCGCGGGGTTCTGTAAACGGTTCGCTACGCGTACACGCCCGAACGTTTTCGTTTCCTTCGGCGTTTTAGTTTCCGCGTGTCCGTCGCGATTCGAACTCCTCGGAACCACGAACCCGAGACATAACGCGCCGCGATCGGTTAGGCCGTTGCGCGCGTCCAACGGAAACGGCGTTTTGTAACGTGTTATTGACGATTGCCGGATCGCCGATTGACATTTGCGCGCGTTCGGTTTATGCGAAGTACGGTACGCGCGTATCGGCCGTGGCCCGAGCCGAGGAACGGAGCGAAAATAGACGAAACGCTGCGCACATTACGTACGTTCTGCGGAACGGATTCGAAACGGAAATGATTGATCTCCTCCGATAACCGACGCGCGGCGTAATGACTCGGAAAAAAAAAAAATGCAAAAGCCGACGGGTGATTCATTCCGGACACGCGCGCAATATTTAAATTGTGAAAAATTCGTTCGCCCCGGTACACATACATTATAACTATTTGCGGCGAAACTTCGACGGCGACATTTTCGGAAACCAAACGGCGCGTCTTGCGGTTAAATACCTTCCGATGAAAGACAAAAAAAAAAACAAAAAAAACCCGCGATTATAAATACGAAAACCAAAGTTTATTCGCGCTGTTAAAACGCCGTGCCGACGGACAACGGGAGTCGGAGGAACCCGCAGTTCTTACGGTTCTCTGAGCAACTTTGACGTGCGACAATCTCTTCCCGTCGTCGAAAACTATCTACTCGCGGAAAAGCGCTGGGGCGTGCCGGGGCCGTGTGCCTGACGCGAACAATAAAAATAATATTATTGTAAGAGAATATTATTTTCGCGTCTCTCGTTACACGTTATCCGATCGGCAATATTGCCGGCAAGTACTCGGGCGTGTTGAAATATTGTAATATTTAAAAATTTAAAGAAACAATCTAAATCAATTAAATGTAATAAACATCCATACGATTATCCAACGATAAATCATTGAGAAAAAAAAAACGATTCTGAACGGAGTTCGGTTGATAGTGATGCTCATCAACAATACATGTACCGATTTCTCCGGGATTCTAAAGTTTTTCACGGTTTTCCGTGTTTTCTTCCCGGTTTTTCACATTTACTGCGAAATCTCCGGAGAAAATTGAAAAAAGACCTCTTTAAAGTACCTCCCCATACCGATTTCCTTTCCAGAAAAGTTACTGCACGTAAAAATCGGACCAAGTCATCTGGTAGAAAAATAGTTGTCCGCAGAATAAAAAAATCCAGAAAAACAGAATCTAAAAAAAATACTCGTGGAACACAAATAGACAAGTGAAGCGAAACCGAGCATTTCAAAAACCGGTACGCATAAGTTATGACTTCACGAGGCAGCTATTCCACTATTATAGTAGTTATAGTAATAGTTGAGACAATAATCAGGTTATTCTAAAAACGATTCTGAGCGGAGTTCAGTTGATAGTGTTTAAATACATAAAACGTATACGTGTATATTTGTATACTTAATATATTTTAACGTATTAAAATTTCAATTATTTCAATTATTCCAATTACAAAATCAATATGGATGCCGTTGTTCTTACGGGGGGGTTTTTTTTTGGGGGAGGGGTTTCCACACGGAAATTTCAAAACGCCTTTGCAATCTTCACTCCGCTCGGAATCTAAATCCGTGCGTGATTCAAGCGTGACCGATTTTCGCTCCGTTTTTCAGCCCGAGTACCATAAATCACGGTCGTGGCCGTGACGTCAATCAAACGCGTGTGTCCATTATGTTCCGTCGTTCGCGTTTATGAGTTTTATGAACGTTCTGCGTTCTCCTCACCCGCCCCCCCCCCCCCCGTCTCTCGGTATTTGTTTTACAAGACCGCTTTTTTTTTCTTTTTTTTTTTTTTTAACGTCCGGTAAATAATATTACGACTGTTATGATAATACGCGCGCGTCGTGACAGAGTGGTGATTTATGCGCGTTCAACTGGTCGCTGCGACGACGACGGCTTTAGTAATTGCTTGTCTCGCGAACGATCGCGGACGGGTTTTCCATACAGCCGGAGCGCTCGCGAAAAGACGCTGTAGATTTTTTTTTTTTTTTTTTTCGTTTTTTCGAAGGGAACTACGGACCGATAGGGGCAGCGCTTTCGAAACGGTTTTTACACGCGAAAACGTCAAAATTCGAGTCCGGTCGCCGGCGGGCTTCACGCGTCTCGGCTATTTTTCGTAATTTTTGTTCGGCGTCGTTTCCCGGCCGTCCGCGCAGCCCGAGAACCGCGCGAGGTCCGGCGGGGACGTGCGGTTTTCGCGGCGCGACGTCTCCGTGTCGCATCGGTCCGACCGCCGGCGCCCTTGTCGTTTTATTCGCGCGCCGCGCCGGATTTCCCACCGGTCCCGTGCGCACGCAAACGCACGCGAACCGTTTCGGCGTTGGCGACGTGTGTGCCGCGGGGAAATCCCGTCTCGAGGACGCGGCCGCGACGCGTGTTCATTTCCCACGGAGGAGCGCGCGGTCGCCCGCGCCGCTGCCATTTGAAACGTTCGATTGAAAAACGATTTGAGCGACATCGCCGTCCGTCACAGTGCGCCCCGTGAATTTTATAACTGAAAGTTTATTCTCATTTCGCCATTTTTTTTTTTCCCCCGTCGACATTGTATACACCGTCCACGGCGACGGTTATTATCGATATCGTAACGACGGCGGAAATCGATGCGCGTTAAAATAATAAAAAAAAAAAAAATAAAACAAGCAAAGAAAACCCCTTAAGAGCCGATACATCGCGACATTCGAAATGCGCCCGAGTCGTGTGGTCCCGGAGATAACAATATCACCTCGTCGACGGCTTACTACTGATAACGACGACGACCCCGTGGCGAACCTGTCGCCACCGGATTTTCAGCGGCCGCGCGAAACCCGTAGCTCGGGAAAATCGGTACTAACGCTTCATCCTCCTTTTTTTTTTTTGGTAAAAATTACTTCTTCGACGTGCTAAGTGTTAACTCACGCGGATAAAATTCACTGCCGGATACGAAAACTGCCAGCTGTAATCGCAAACGTCCCGAACGTGCCGCGGTACGTTTTATAGATCAGTTCGGGGGGCGGGGAGAATCGGTTTGGGACGTTTGCGGGCCGGATGTTTTACTCAATCGTCTACACATGTACGCACGTTATGATGACGCGAACAAACCGCTATTATTATTATTGTTATTGCGATACACCGCAGTCGTATCGCGCCCCGAAATTTCGAAACGACCTGCGAGGCGCAGAACGTCATGGCGACTTTTTCCCATCGTCCCTCCCTCCCCCTCCCCTCCCCCCGTATACGTTTTCAGCCGTTACCGCGGTTAGGGGGAGGGGTGGGGTTGTCGCGGGGTGGGGGATGGGGTGGGCAGATACGGAATTACATTTTTACGCCCCGCCCTTCGGCGTCGGGCGCGTGAATCGCGGTCCATTCGCGACAGAAGGTGCGAACGAATGTGAACACAGAAGGTGCGATAATGCCGAACAATATCGGAAGGAATGATGATGGAAAAAAAAAAAAATAAAAATAACCGAACGGAAACCCGCGGAACAATCGCATATTGTCGAGACCGTACACGCGAATAACGAGCGATATTGTCTCCGCGGCTTCACATTTCTCCCCAGCGATATTAAACACGCCGCAGATGGATCGTCGTCCCGAAACCGCCCAACCCTCCGCCGCCTCCTACAACCCCTCTACTCACCCCTCGGGACTATTATGTGCCGTTTTACATTATGACACTCATTACAATAATAATATTATTATTATTATTATTATTGTCGTCGTCGTTTGTTATTTTCGTCGCGTACACGTGTCGGACGGCGAATTATGTACGACGCCGGGGCGCGCGGACGGCGGCGTGGGGCCGTCCGCAATAGGAGCCGACGCCGGCGAAATCCCCGTCGCGTTTATGATTTTGTGTTTTTATCGCGATCGAAAAAAAATACACGAAAAAATAATTATCACCCGACCCGACCCTTCCCTCCCACGTCACCACCCTCCCGACCGCGTTAACGGTTATATACACTACGCGCGCGCCCGACAGTACTTAGCCACTTTAAAGCCATGAAAATCCGCGATGGGGGACGCGTAACGTAATAAAATATGTACCGTGCGGTTTAGTTTGTGACGGAGCGTTTAAAATACGGATTACAGAAACGGTTAGAAAATAATTGTTAAAACAAATAGGGACGGGTGCAGCCACCGTAATAGATAAACCATTGCTTACGGAAAAAACGACTCTGAGCGGTTGTGTCATTTTATAATAAAATAATTAAATAGGCGACACATGTTCTTTTAATAATGTCTGATTAACGTTGTACCGATTTTCCCAGTTCGTTTTGCTATTATAACGTTGCTATTACTAAGAGTCGGAGCGAAATTATCGTTTGAATAGTTGTGCGCGGCGGAAAAAAAAATTGTAATATACTAGTAGTATGTATATTTCGTACATTTGCCCGTGTTTTTTTTTTTTTTTTTTTCGGTTTTTCAATTACGATGAGAGAACTCTAGAGAAAATCGAAACGTACCTCCCACGCCGATTTCCTTTCAGAAAAGGCGCTACACTTGCTTAGAAATCCGAGTAAGTCTTCTGGTGGAAAAATGGTCGGAACACTTTTGTAAAACCATAAGCTTTTTCGCTCCGCTTAGAATCTAAAATGAAAAACAACCCTCGAAAATGTTAAATGCCGTTTATAGACGGTCCGAAAACGCACAGAAGAAGCCGATGCGCGGGTGGGTACATGGCGTTTCGGCCTTTAACCGAACAAGCCGTACGTCAAAACCGGCCGTGATACATAAACGGAAACAACATGAATAGCACTGTCGGCTAGTATAGTCGGTCCGGTTTCACCGTATAACCGCAGAGTGTTTAGATTTAGCAAGCTCTTACGAAAATGAAGACCCGTACAGTCTGTTTGGAAAACCGAATACGCTGTCGCATACCAGAGCGATATCAGTGCGGTCTGGACGCGTGTGCAGAGACTTGTAATAGAAAAAGAGCACTGAACGGACAACGCGTAAAAACGAGAAGGGGGGCAAAAAAAAAAAAAACAACGCGGACAGTGGAAAGATAGTTGTGGCAGCTTGGGTCAAGTGGAACGCGAACGGATAATGGCGAAAAAAGGCGGCGTAGGATAATTGGGACGGGTGTAGCCGCTGTTATTAGATGAAATAACTGTTGTACATTAAATGTAATGTACACCGTGTGAGCAACGATAAACCGTTCAAAAAACGATTCTAAGCGGAGTTCAATATCGGCGATGCTTTGTCAACAATATTTCAATATGTCCGTAAAACAATTAAATAATTTCTTTGGTAATATTTGTTTAATGTTGCACCGATTTTCTCGGTTTTCCTACGTTTTTCCCGGTTTCCCGTTTTCCCTCTCTAAAGCACCTCTTAAGTCGGATTTCCTTTGAGAAATTTCGCTATCATTATAAATTGGAGCAAGATTTCCGGTAGAAAAGCCACAGAAATCGAAAGTCACTAATTTCAAATCTGTTTTCTCTGTTCGATAATAATAGTGCGCAACGTTAAAACCGAACACGCCTATAATCGCGGACGACGATAATACGGTAACCAAGTCCGTAATTATGATAATTACGCTAATTTATCGTCTAAATCTTAATTCGGTTCAGCTGCTCAAGTGTCGAATTTAGCAACATCTGTTCTGCGGATATTTCGAAAATACGTCGACGGTTTACAATCGTAAAGTCCGTAAGGAAAACGCGAAAATCACGAAGCCTTGTTCTAATTATCGCCTTAAAATTTCCCGTTTTTTTTTCCCCGATCACAAACAGATGGGAATTATCGAATTCCAACGAACCGTCGCGTCGCGCATTTCGAACGATTGCAGCCGTAACGGTTCGTTGAAAGGGTCCGCGAACGTTTGCGCCGTCCGGCACGGCGAGCCGCGCGTCGCCAGTTCAAATTGCGAAATCTCGCGGGACGAAAACCCCGCGCCGGCCGCCGCGTTTTCGCCGCCGGATCTCGGCGCGCCACAGTCCCGTCCGTTGCGGTGCCGTCGTCCGCGCAAAGACGCCGTCGCAAAGTACACGCGCGCGGACGCGGACGTGGGTGCAACGGTGCCCGGCGATTCCCGTTTTTCGGCCGTCCCGCGGACGCGTACGTATCCGCGCGCAAACACAAAACCGTGAAACACGTTTGTCCGGTCGCAGTCGACGTGGCCAACGCGCGCTCCGCGTTTTACCGGGTTTCCCGCGGAAAACAAAAAATAAATTAAAACGAATCGATTTTTCCGGTAAAAGTCGAATGGGGGGGGGCGGGGGACACGCGCTTTTCCGGTTCGGTCTTCCGCACCCGCGCGAACGCGCGACGGCGGCCGACCGACCGCCTCGCGGAGAACGGCCGACCCGGACGACGGGAACGCGCGTTTTTTTTTTGAACATCGCAGTGCAGGGCCAAACACACGTATATCATTGTAATCTGCACTTGAATATTCAACTCATTCGCAATTTATATTATGTGTAAAAAATTTGAACCGTTTTCACGCGTACGCAAACGACGCGCGCCCGCCGGGGGTTTTCTCCGGGCGGGCCGGCGACGGCGCCGCCGATTTCGTTTCTCTCGAGCGCGTACGGCTTGAATTCCGCGCGCGACAACGCGCCGCCGACGGCAATGGCCGGGTGCCGGCGCACACGGCGAACGGAAAGAAGAAAAAATAATAAAAAGAAAAAAACCCGCCGAGACGACGGCCTACAGTCGAGTACGCCCGCGTGCACACGCACACGCGCGCGAACGGGAAAACCGAAACTCGGCGGAAAATCCGAAATCCCGCGCCCTCGGCATGCCGAGAGCGCGCGTCGGGTGATTTTTCGTCGAGAAAATCTGTGCGGAATATTCGTCGTCGTCGTCGTCGCCGTCTCATTACAAGTCGCCGTGCGTGTGATATTTCTCCCCCCTCTTGCGAAAAAAAAAACTACCGTTCCTCGGAAGTGCTACGAGAAAAACAAAACGCCGAATTCCCGGGGGGTTTTCGGCGCGATACATTATGTCCGCGAACGTACAGAGTGCGAAAAGAACGAAAAACAATCTTTTACTTTCCTTTTTTTTTTATAATATTTCGTCTACTGCGGTAAGCGTTTTATACGTTCGCGAACGGAATAAATTCCCATCGTTGTTATTGAGTGGACGAGTAATAAAAATAAAAATGAACGATTATGGGCTTTTAAGGTTTTTCGTTGGAACTCGTATGGAATTCGCTATAAAAAAAAAACACAGGCGAAACAAACCGAAGAAATCCCCACGAACAATAAATTCGGACGATTGATAAAATGGGACGACGGGGACGGGTGCAGCCACCGTTGTGGGTGAACCCGTGAACTACACGTGAACCCGTGCAAGCAACGACGAACAGTTGCTCACGAAAATAACGAAACTGTTATTGTAGTAAAATGCATTTAGTTGTACCGATTTCCCTACGTTTTTTCCCGGTCTTTCACATTTAATGGAAAAAATCCTGAGAAAATCGAGAAACGACCCCTCTCTCTACAGCGGCTCTCCGGTAGGATTTCCTTTTTGAAATAATGCTAAAACCGCTAAAAGTCGGAGCAAACTTGTCGGTAGAAAAGTCGTCCGCGGCATAAAGAAATTAACGTAATACCGTCAACGTACACACCTACATTTCTAACATTCTCCCGTTTTTTTTTTTTTGAGAAAATCGAATAACGACCTCGATAACTTCATTTCAACGCGTGAAGAACCGGAGCAAGTCCTCCGGTAGAGAAACGGTCTTACATATTTTGTAAAACCGTAGGCGGATTTCGCTCCACTCGGAATCTCAGAGTCCACACGAAGTCGCTCCGGACCGGAGGCCGGACCGCACGAAGCTGTGGCGTGTATGCCGGAACCGAAAGCGGAAATCGTGTCGAACCGCGAGAAGACGTTTCACCGGAGACGCGCAAAACTTCGTGTGCCGTAGATGCGCGCGATACGAAGCGTACGGAAAATCGGCCGAAAAACTATCGTTTTGTCGAGAAGCGACAGTGTCGTTTACGCGGTCATCCGGACGTTCGCGCGGCGTTTTCGTGCGCCTGCTCGGTTATCGCACGCCGAAAGGACTCGCGTTCGTAACTTACACGCTCGACCGGCGGGCGAGATGGGATTTTCGATACCCGTGAGCGGGTATTTTTTTTATTATTTTTTTCCTTAAGCGACGGCGTAATTTACACGATTTCGCGGCGGCGGGGCGCAATCTGGCTGCCGGGGGGAAACGAGTGCGTTGTTTCCGTCGCGCCCGCGTGCACACGATCGTGTTGTGCACGGCGAACGTGTGACGGGATAAAAGAACGAACAAAATTAACACCGACGGACGTCCGCATTACAATATCGTTTTACACGGGGTCCGGCCGCTCAACGCGCGAAAACAATTGACGGCGAACGGCGACCGCGGGCGGCCCGGGACAGTAGACTTTTTCCCGGAGAGCGGTTCGATAAGCGGTTTTCCGTCGCGGTATTGTTTATGGACATTCGCGGTCGGTCCGATCCGGGACCGGACGACACGACGCCGTAAAAGCCGGAATATGTCGTTAAAAAAAAAAAACGAGACGATAGCCATCTAGCGCACGACGGTCCGACCAATTTTCGTTGTCGAATTCGTTACGGCACGGTTACGGCTCGCGTTTCGCGTTGTTGTTGCCGTCCGGTCGAACCGGATAGTCGACAAGGATACCGTCGGGTTTAATTTTTTTCGGACTCTGATTTTCAGACGAACGATATTGATGTATACGGTTCTGAAGCCGCCCGAAAACGGGAGACGCGGAAATAATCCCCGCAAAACGGCCGTTATACCTCGTTTATTGACATCGGTCGGGTACCGTCGCGAAAACTCGCCGTTTAGAAACAGCGCGAACGAAAGTCGGCCCGAAAAGAAATTTATTCCCGGACAGTTTTTTTGCGAAAACCGCGCGTTACGGGATCGCGCAACGTCCGCAACAGTTTCGCACTGTGCGAAAACCACCGACTCGGCACCGCGGACCCGACGAACAATTCAATTTCGCGCCAAAGTACACGCGACGTCGATCGTCACGGTCAACTCGACGGAAAACTGTCGACACGAGAGACTGTGTTCTAAGGGGGCGGTTGGGGGGGAGGAGAGAAAGGGTTTCGCTTACGTTTAACAACGCGAATCGTTCGCTCGGGAATCGCTTATTGCGGTTTTATCGTTGAAAACACCGTGACCGCGCGAGCGCCCTGTATAAATATAAGCGATGACGCAGTGTCTGTAGCATTTTTTTCTCTCTCTCTCTGTCTCTCTCTCTCTCTCTCTCTCTCTCGAAAATACGTTCGATTTTCGTAATATCAACGGAGTGAAAACGGGTTTCGCTGCGGCCGCGTGACGCGCGGGGTAGACGTATTCTTATATTATTATTACTTATGTTACTACGGTGCAAACGAGTTTTCGACTTACCCGACGACGGCCTGTCCGAGTAACGCGTGCAGTACACCCACGCCGGCCACATCTCCTTGTCGCCGTTCTGCTGGTCGCCGCCCCCGGCCGCGTCCGATCCCGAATCCTGGTCGTTGGTGTTGTTGTTGTTGTTGTTATGGTTGGTGTTGTTGTTGTTGTTGTTGTTGATGATGTTTGCCGAGTCGTCGAGCGGCTGCTTCAGCAGCGGGTGTTGGCCGACGCCGTTCGCCGCGGCGGACTTTTTGTTGCTGACCGGCGAAACGGACTGCAGTCCCGGCGGCGGCGGTGGCGGCGCCGGTTTCCGTTTGTTGCCTTTGTCGGCCGCTGTCGCGGCCGACCGCTTGAGGCCCGCGGCGGCCGCCACGGCGTTCGGCCTGGTCGGAGACGGTCTGAGCAGCGGGGCGGCCGGCGGCAATTGTTGCCGCAACGGCGCGAGCGGCTGCAGCTTGCAGTTGTTCTCGACGCCGTAATGGAGTTTGTTGACGGCCAGCGGCGGCGAAACGGACGGCTGCTTGCCGCGGCTGTTGTTGTTGTTGTTGTTGCCGTTACCGTTGTGTTGCTGCAGCAGCAGGTTATGGTGGTGGTGGTGGTGAAGGTGATGTTGGTGCAACTGATGGAGTTTGCTTCCGAATTCCGGGCGGAGTATGTTGTCGACGGAGAAGGCCAGCGGGAACGGACTCGGGGAACGCGGTGACGGCGAACGGCAATAGTTTTTCGTCGTGGTCACCGTCATCCCGCCGCCGCCGACGGCCAACGGAGTCATCCCGCCGGTCCCGTACGACGAAGACACGTCCGAGGAACCCGAAGTGCTGGCCGGCCGAGAAACGTACCCGGCCAACTGCCGCGGCTGCGGATGCTGCGGCTGCGGCTGGTGCGGTTGCTGCGGCGGCGGCGGCAGTTGCAGCGGTTGCGCGACTTGCTGCAGGGACAACGGATGCACGGGCTGCAGCGGTTGCGATAGGGCGGCCGATTGCATGTGCATCGCGGCCGCGTGGTGTAACGGACTGTTGACGGCCGACATGGCGGCGCCGGCGGTCTGCAGCGGCGGCTGCTGCCCGCCGTCGAAGTCGACGTGGTGCTGGTGGTGCAGTTGTTGCAGCGGTCGATGGTGGAGCGCCACGGGCGGTTCGTCCGACTCGGGCGATTCGCCGCTGCAATTGTTGCCGTCGGGTTGCTGCAGGTGTCGCATTTCCCGGAAGTATTCCGCGGCGGCCGCGGCCGGCACGATGGGCAGGAAGTTTAACCGGTACATCCACGAGTTGAAATGAAAGCCGGGCGGCACGTGGTGGCCGGCGGCCGCAGCGGCCGCGGCCGCGGCGGCCACCGCCATCGTGTACTCGACCGCGGCCGCGGCGGCCGAAGCGTTGGACGGCTGCGGCGGCGGCGGCGGCGGCTGCACCGGCGAATGCTGTAGCGACGGCGGCGGCGAGTGTTCCGGGATATTGTTGTGATGCAACTGCAATTGCTGTTGTTGGTGGACCCACCGCGGCACGTCCGTGGCCGGCGCCGGCACTCTAGACTTTTGGAAATGTTTCTTCTTAACGGCCGGCGGCTGCGGTAAGACGCAAGCGGCAGAAGGCGGTGGCGGCGGAGGCGGCAGCGGCGGCGGCGGCGAAGCGTCGAATTGGTCGGCGGCAGCCGTCTGCTGCAATAGCGGCGCGCAGCCGGATTTGTTCTGCAACGGCGAACATATGCTCAGCGGCTTACTGCAGTTGAGCGGTAGGGCGCCGGCCGCGGTTCTGCAACTCTGCGACTGCGGGCCGTCCGGGGCGACGGCGGCGTCCTCGCGGACCGGCCGGAAAGCGGACGGCTGCAGCGGCAACGGCGGCGGCGGTGGCGGCGGTTGCTGTTGCTGCTGCTGCTGCTGCTGCTGTTGCTGCTGCTGCTGGTCCGATCCGTTGCTGTTGCCGCTGTCGTCGGCGGCGGTCGCGGACGACGCGGGGGACGCGGTACGGGCGACCGTCTTGCAGCACGACCGGTGCATTTCTTTGGTCTGATCGCTGCAGTCGTCCAGGCCGGGCCGCCGGTTGTTGTCCGTCGGGCCCGGGCTCGAGGCGTTGTTCGGACTGCACCGTTCCGTTTCCAATGCCATGACGCCGGAACGCGACGCGGCGATTTTGTCACGACGGCGATACCCGTAATTGCACGGGCTGTACGCGGAATTTACGCGGGCGGGTACCTCGCTGCCGTCGCGCGAAACGTGTAAATTATACGGTCCGGAACGGGAATAATGTCGGCGCGTTTTACTATTTTCCGCGCGCGTCTCGTGTACGGCGCGAGCGCGCGCGCGCTCCTACGGTTCGGCGGTCGGCCGCGCGCGTATTACCCGGCAAACACGGCGGCGGCGGCGGCTGCGGCAGCGGCGGCGTTCGACTCGTCTCCGCGACTCGATCTCTTGTAACCGTCGTCGTCGTCGTCGGAACGCGTCTACCGGCCGGAGCCGCGTACGCCGGGGCCGTCGACGCCGGCAGCGCGCACGCCCCGCCCGGCCGCCGTGCCATGGTTACGCGCGGCCTGCGGGCCAACGGGCGCGCGCGGCCGGCCACGCCCAGCCGGCCGCCGCCCCGCGCTATTGGCCGGCCGATTGAGCTGTTTGTTCACCCCGCGGCCCGGCCCGCCGTCGTACGCGTACGCCGCGCGCGCGTCGGCGGCGGTGCTACGACCGCCGCGGCTATTATCGTCGCGAAACACGGCACGCGGTTCTCCGGTCTTGTGTACACGCAAACGCGCGCGTTTCAACACCTCGGGACCGTTCGGTTCCGCCGCCGTCTGCTTTTCCGCCGTTAAATGGCCGGGGCGCAACACGAAACGTTGTGTTTTTCAAACGCGTATCCGCTTTTTTCGGGGGGTCATGGGAGAATTTACCGGGGGACCGGATGGTCGGTGATACCGGACGACACTCTCGGTCGCTGTAATTTTTGTATTCTTACATTAACTTAATCACGTCGTTTCATCGACGCGATAATAATAATAATAAAAATATCAGATACACACGCGTCATGCGCACAATGTATACACAATTGTACGTACAACGATAAAAGATAACTTAACAGTCCGGACTTTTGTTGTTCAATTGTCCATTAACTGTCCATCCAAACGGTTTGCGTATTAATGTTTAAAAAACAAGACGTCTTAGGACAACGGAGACGGGTGCAGCCACTACTGTTATAGATGATTTTGACGTGTACCTGTGAGCAACATTTGTCTTGTTGTTTGTTATTCGCCTGGATAAAGACTACGAAATACGTTCGAATTGAATTTTTGATAGTTACAATTAAATTACAATTTATAAGTTTTCGATAGTTTGTTGTTTTGAAAAAAAAAAAAAAAACGTACACAGTCGATTACCGCCATTAGTACGGCGTAATTATACAGTCAATTAGCGAATGCGATTACAGCCGCCAGCTGTATAATTATGGGTATTCGGTTTAGTTATGATATTAATCTATAACATAATTAATAATTATATTGGCATGGTTAATATTAATTTGAATTGGCCTGTGCGCTTTTTTTTCTGAGATCTAAAATTTTCCGAAATTCACGGATTTAAAGGAAATGTCGAAATGCGTTCGAAAATAACAAAATGAAAAATTATTGTTTTTTACCGAAACATAAGCATTTCAAAACGTAAAATCTAAACGTCAATTTTCTTTGTCCACGTGAGTAATGCATAAAAGAAAGAAAAAAACAGAATTATTCGATTATGTTTAACATCTCCGGAGTTAATACAACGGATTTTCGTGGCACATTTCGTATGTCTACTGTTTTAGCTAAATAATATTAGCGTAATCTGAGCGTATGGTCAGGCGTTGCGGAAATGACTAAAGGTTGCAAAGATCTCTGGGGGCCCCCACACCAACAACATGACCGGTAAGAATAGTGTTTCAGTAATAAAACTATAAAGTAAAAACAAAATTATTAAAACGGTTAACACCCGTAAGTAGTACACTCGTATTGTTAATATAAAATGCATTATAAATCACGTGGTGTTTTACAATTACAATACGAAATTCAGAATTTTAAAATTGTAACTGTTCTCAGTAGTTGTTCTCTGTTGATTTTTTGATTTTGATTTCTCAAAAAATTAAAATATTCCATATTGTTTTAATTTTACTTTTTTTTTTAGAACACAAGGAGACAAAGTGAGAAAGTCGATCTCCAGTAGACTTCGCGACAAATTCAAATATGTCTCGAGAATTCTTATTGCTTCGCCACGACGGTTCTTCTCCGGTGTTCTTCCGGCCTTTTCGCGACCGTTCCGCCCGGCGGTTCGTCGTCCGGTTCGCCTCGCGCCTCTCGCCGATCCGTTCGAATCCAGCCCCGGGTCCGCCGGCTTTGTTTTCCACGCGACCCTCCCGTCTACGGCACGGCCCGGTTTTCCCGTCGGACGTCCGTCGACCGCCGTTTTAATCGGCGCGTGCCACCGGTCACGGCCCGTCCACCTTGGTCCGCGGTTACCCGCGCAACGCCGCGGCGTTCGGAGTACGTTCCGGAGTCGCTTCGTTGCGCCGTGTTACGTCCCGTCGTAGAACGGGACGTCCCGGGTACGGTCGTGTGCGGTCCCCACCGCCGAAAAATGCGAGGGGTTTCCGAGCCTAACACCTCGACCCGCCCCCGAAGTTGCGCCGCCGCCGCGCGCGGACACGAACCCGGGACCGCTGACGCCGTAACGACGCGACAACAGCGTACGCTCCCGGGCCGGGTTTTCCGCGTTCTCGCGCGACCGTCCCGGGGGCCGTGAACCGCGCGTTTCGCCGTCGTCGTTTCGTTCGTTGTATTCCGAACGGGCCGTGAAACGATAACATTACCGATTTAGCGCGCGGTAACGAGACGGCCGGACGACGGCCGGGCGTTACGATACGACGCCGCGGCGGCGGCGCAATAACAGCCGGTAGAAAAAAAAAACCGACGGAAATCTCAATTATAACGATTTTATTGTCCCGCACGCCGGTCGGGTCGGGCGGGGGAAAGAAAAAAAAAAAACGAAAAATGATAAAGGAGAGTATCCGACCGAATACAATTGCGTTACAGACGATAAAACGACGGCGCGTAATAAGACGTCAACGCCTATTGTCGTCGTCGCGACGCGGCTCTGCGCGGGGAACGAGAGGAAAAACGCATTGCCGTCCGGACACCGGGACCGTGCGTCGTTTCCGAAACCGGCGACGTCCTGGGACAATGTTCGAGAGACAAAACTCCGGAGAAAATCGAAAAACGGCCTCTGCGGCATCGCCCGGGGAGCCCGGTAGCATCGCGACGGCGTTTCGCCGCACTCGCCGAAACGCGCCCGCGCGGGCGTTCTCCGGAGCCGTCGTCCGAACCGGAAACAACGGCCGACAGCAGCGGGCGCGCGCGTGCGTTTCGTTTACGTTTCGAAAAACAGAACGCCCGGACGTGCGGGTTGTCCGGCGAAATTCGAATTTCCGCCGGCGAATAAACAAAACGGTTACGGCAAACGGACGGTTGCCGAAAATGCCCGGAAACCCGACTGTCGCGATTTCCGCGGTGAACCCCGGCGTTTTCTATTTTTTCCCTCGCCCGTGACGAACACGGCCCGTGCGTGTTACTCGGGGACGGTGTTGTTGCGTGCTAACGGCGAGTGAACGTTCCGGAATCGGCCCGGTACGGACAAAACCGTTCCTGTGCGGGATATTAGCGTGGACCGTAATTTTTTCACCGCGGCGGTACCCCGCGCGCACGGCAATAACCCGCGGTTCGCACGGCGGCTCGCCGGAATCGAGTTGGACCCGCGATCGCAACGCCGGACGCAAGTTCGACTGGGGGGGGGG